GGCACAGGAAGCGGGCAGGGGGAGCCTGCCCTTCGCCCCCTGCCCTTCCCAACGAGCACATCTGCGAAATGGGCGCCTTTCTTACGGAACTGCCAGCCCAGCAACTCCTTTCTTCACAGGATTAGAGGGAAATGTTCGGTTTGGGGAGAGTTAATGGACATTTCGTGTGCGCCACAGCCTGGAGGGAGCGAGCCCGGCCATTGGGGTCCTTTATTTCTTTTTGTTATTCAAACAGGGCTTGGGCGATGGCTCCATCCCAGCCATCGGCAAAGCTTCCCTCCAGCCTTTTGATATGCATGCCCCTGTCTGGAGGCAAAGTCCGCAACCTCCCCACCTCCTGGGGACACGCACCTGATAACAGGGCGGCCTGTTTTCCCAGCAAGGAAAACTGAAACCAGCCCAGGCCAGGCTGGGGGAGCAGGGGCAGGGGTCCAGCTGCCCTGCCTTCCCTGCCCCTCTGCCAGGTGAGCGCAGCCACCCTGCCTGCTCTGCCTGCTCTGCGCAGTCCAGGGTGGCTGGCAAGCATGGCCAGGCAGAGACCAGAATTCTCTCCAAGCTGTTAATACTGTGTGGCATGGTCTTTAACCAGATTGGCAAATCTTAAAGAAATTGGTATTGCAAAACGAGGGCGGGCTCCGGAGTCAGCGGGTTCATTGTCTCCTCGGTGGGATTTGGCTGCGGGGCACGTCCTGGTCACCAGGCAGTGCTGGGGCTGCTGCTGGGCTCAGGGAGCTTTCGTGAACGGAGCTGGAATTCTGTGTTATTTTCCTCGTGTGTTCCCGTCTGGAGCGTATGGCTGCGGAGCACCCGGTGTGTTTACAGGGCGCCGGGCAATGCAAACACTGCGGGGCTCGTCTCCTCCTCCCGAGAGACAACACATGTGAGGGCAGTGCTCTGTTTCTTATTATTTTTGTAATGCCCTGAGTGCACATGTTGGTGTGTTTCTGCGAGGGGAGGCGAGGACAAAGAGCCTTCCTCCCGAGCAGGAGGGGGTGAGCTCCTGTGGGGGACCCTGGGTGGGCAGCAGGATGGGCTCAGGCATGTGGCTTCAGCACGTGAATGGCAGCAGCAGCGGGAGAAGGGATGGGAATAGCAGTCCTGCTGCATAGGTATGGGATTTTGGGAAAGTGAAACTTTAAAGAGAAGTTTGGGCTGTGGTGTACTGTTGTTCCCTTTCCCGTCAAAGGATGGTGACGGGATGTCCTCAAGTGATCTTGGGGCAGTGCAGCTGGAGAAGGGCATGGAGCAAACAGAGAGCTGATGTGCCTGTGCTCATGGTAGAGCCTGCAGCCGTGTGCCGTGGACGCGTGGAGCTGTGGCCTGTGTGTCTCTGCTCTGCCAGCGAGCAGTTCCTTCCAAAGGGATAACTCTTTTCTCACTTTATAGCTGGAAAAAAAGACTATGTGGGAGCTCCCTGACCACGTGGCAAAGCTGAGCTTGGTGCATTGGGTGCTCAGTCCTGGCTGTGTCCCATCCTGGGGAGTCCTGATAGCTGTGTCACTGTCTCCTCTGCCTCCCTGCTGCAGGGCTGGGAGGACACCCTCACCTGGTGATGCTGGACATGAGGTAGCTCAGTGGCTGAGAAAAGAAAAGCCATTTTGAGGTGCCGTTTGAATTTCCTGGGCTCAGGCTCCTGACGCAGGACTCCGTGCAGAGGTCCTCTGAGTGGGTTTTTGCGGGTGCAGATGTTGGCAGGGCTGGGAGGTGGCCTTGCCTGCTCCTGTCTTCCTGGAGTCTTACTTTCCTCACACTGCCAAATCTCCCTGTCCTCTGTGGGTCACCCTCATGCTGAGAGAGCACCATGTCCTCTCACACCTCCCTGTAGGAATTCCCAAGGGAGGTACACTATTTTTTGCTGAGAGTTGCTTGTTTTGGTGGCAGCATCACTGCCAGCCATTGCTGCTGCTGCTCTGCATCATTGTGGGCTGGGGAGGGGAAACAGACCAGGAGGAGTTGACCTGGTTGTGCTATGCTGGGGAGGATTGCTGCATCCTGAGCATCCAGGGCCGTGTCTGCCTGGGCCGGGGGCAGGCAGCGAGTCTGGGCAGCTCCCAGGAATTGTTTGCTGGGTCTGGGAGCAGATGTGCAGCAGCAGTGGGATTTCTGCACACAGCCGTGGGGGGGGTTATGCAGCTTCAGACTCCCTCTGGTGCCATTCCTGTCCTCCCTTTGGTGAGGGGGAGGCAGGACGTGCACCAGTGCTCTGCCTGTGGAGGTGGGCGCCGGACATCTGTTTTGCTTCGTGTTTTGGTATTACCAGGTTTTTAGCTCTGCCCTCAGCATCTGAAACATCAAACCCTGACTGGTCTTTGTTTGCCAGAGGTGCTGACAGATGATCTCAAAGCAGAAATCTCAATTGTTATAGCAGTGGTTGGAGGCAATGCAGAGTGAGAGCGACACAGAGCAGGCAGTGGGCTGGAGCTGGGGTCTCTCTGGGGCTGGGTGGGTCGTTGCTTTGGCTTCCTAACAGGGCTGTAGGTGGGCCAAGCACTGCGTGCTCCTCAGCTCCTGAGTTGCATGCTCCTGAAATGACTGTGCTGGTGAAGAGGCAAGTTGCAGCACAGACCCATAGCCCAGCAATGAGACAGTGTTGTTTGTGGCGTCTGGGTGCCTCTGGGAGAGCTGGGAGCTTCCATTTCCAAAAACAGGATCCAGAGAGGGCACCCAAGGGAAGGCAGAGGCGTCTGAGCGTAGGCAAGGCGAGCCCCAGCTCCACAAGGGGACCCCAGGGCAGGGGGTGCTGGGTGTGAGAGTGCTGCAGCACAGCCCCCTTCCCATCCCCTTTGCCCTGGGGCAGTGGAGCTGAGGCCAGGAGCAGGGGGCAGGAGGAGTTTTCTCCCTTGGGGAGAGTTTAACTCACTGCAGGCTCCAGGACTTTGCCCCCCATGGCAGGCTGCCTGCCTGTCCCGCTGCTGCCGGAACAGCCCACCCACCGCTGGGCGTGCTGGGCAGCTGGAACATGGGGAGGTTAGTGCCAGGGGAGTGGGCTGTCCCCTGTATTCTGCAAGGTAGAAGTGCAGCTCACCTCCAGACAGGGTCCAGCAGAGCAACCTGGGGCTGGGCAGCACCGAGCCCAGGAGTGCTTCAAGGTGCATGGGTGGTGGGGAAAAGCTTGGTGTTCACTAAGGACAATGGGGTTGTGTCTGGAGCCTCTGTTAGCTGGAGCTGGTGGATCTTTAGATCCATTACATTTGTGTTGAGATTTTGTTCAAATCCCCATTAGCTTCCAAGACCCCTCCAGATGTGTCTCCAGTCAGACCCCTCTGCTCAGGGCATGAAGTTGTGGCTGGCTTGAGGAGCTCACACTGTCTGTTTTGCCCTCCCTGGGGCTTCCTGCATGTCTGAATTTCCACTCACTTTCACAGACAACCATGAAGCAGGACAAGAGACACAGGCAGGATGAGGCAGACTGCAGGGCAAAGCTGAACCTCGTCAACGGGGACCACACCAATCCCACTGACAACACACCTGCCATTGTACTGAAGGCGAATGGGAAGCCCAGCACTCCAGGTGAGGATTGCCATCCTGTGCCCAGGGTACACTGTGCCCGGGATGTGCAAGCATGCACAAGGTTGGGGATCTCCCAGCCATATTGTAGCCATGGCCAGGGTCTCTCCATGACTCCATTGGGTTTCTGCAATCTGGTAGCACATCCAGGCCATGGTGTGGTTGTGGAAATGGGTGCCACACTGGGATGCTGGCTGTGCCCCTTGATGGTTTAACCCTCTGGAGTGAGGAAAGCAGGGGAGCCTCTCCAGCCTGAGGGGTGTCACTGACCTGAGGGGCTGCATCACTGCTCCTGGAGTGCTCCAGTTACGGTTCCCAAATCCCACCTCTTGAGTTCACAAGGTCCTGCTTTAAATGACTTGGTGACAAGCCCTGAATAGCTGGTGTGTGGCTTCCTTGTGCTCCTGAGCTTTCAGGAACAAAGAAGTAGATAAGAATGCCCCCACACTTGCTGTTAGTCCCTCCCAGTTTTGGGGACAGGTGGGTGATCTGGGTCTGCAGTGCCAGCAGTGCTGTGCTGGGGAGCCCTGGGGACAAGCAGTTTCTGCAGTCCTGGCCACATTTCTCCAAGATGAGATTTCAGTCTCCTAATCCCATGCTGCTGGGAGTAGTGGGAGGGTGGGGTGTCTGGGGGCATGGCCAGGAGGACCTGAGATTGCACTGCCTTGTCCCTGCACAGATCCTGGGGACCTGGAGCTGCCACCTCTGAAGAACGACAAGAGGGACAGCAAGGGAGACCTCTCCCAGGAGGACCTGGACTGGCCACTTGATCTGATGAGGGTGAAGAAGGTAAGTGCTCACCCAGGCTTCTTGTTGGGGGCTGTCTGTGGTGGGCATCTGGTGCTGGGACTCTCCTTCTTCCAAGTCTGCTCTCGTGCTCGGTGTCGGAGAAACAGTTCAATGGCAGATGCAATACTCATTTAGCGGTGTGGTATTTTGATTTTTAAACTCCTGATTTACATGATACCACAGCAGCAGGAGGGGATGGTGGTGTGTGATGCAGCAATGCCCACTACGTGTTGCAGCAGCCTGATAATTATTATGCTGATATTTCCTTTAAAAGTCTTTGCTGTATTGATGGACTGAAACATCTTGTGCTTCCCACTCTCAGGGTGGGCTGCTTTTAGCTGCCTTGGGGCTGGATCCCAGTTTCACTCACCCTCTTTTGTTGACTAGATTGACAAACCTCCAAGATCAGGAAGCATTTTTGCTTCTGGCTTTATCATTTTGAGTTAGAAATAAAACCCAAGGTTGGAGATCTGCCTGAGAGGAGGCAGCTTCCAAAAGAGCGAGCCATAAATCCAACGGGTGAAAATGCATCTTCTCCACTACGTTTAGTTCAGGTGCCTCTCACTGCAAAATCTCATTTAATTTTGAACCTCTGTTATGCTGAATGCAGGAAACATGCCTAGACTGGACTGTAACTGTGACCACTAGGGAAGGGCTACCCTGGGTGCTGCTGCAGGGCTGGCTGTGAGAGGGAGCACCCATGGGGGTATGAGAGCACCCACGGCGGTGTGAACAGGTCCATGCCTGGGATGAGTACTCTCCCAGGGCCTATGGCTTTTCTGGTGTCCAGTCCTGCTCTCCTGCTCTCCGTCATGCAGAGTGCAGTGGGCTGCAGCAATGGGAGCTCCTTAGCCCTGCAGAGATGCTGTGGAACACATAGTTGCCCAAGAGGCTCAGCATGAGGTGCCTCCTACAACTCTCTGCCTCCTCTTGCCATCCCCAGGGCTCTGGTGCTACTGGCGCTCAGTGCTGTGAAGCATGGACTGTCCAAGTGCCCATGTGGGGAGGGCACCCATGCCATAGCACCTCTTTGTTCTGGTGGCAGGAGCAGCCCCAGGACAATGCTCAGTGGGAGAGCAGCCTCAAGCAGAAGACCCCTGTCCGCCTCATCTTCCAGGCAGGGCAGACCCGGCACGAGATGAGCATCAAGGAACCAAGCAGTGTGGAGACTCTCAGGGACTTGCCAACTCCTGTGCGGGTGAGGATCTGTGCAGGGCTGGGGCTACCCTAGGGCTTCCTTGGGGCTCCAGAGACCTGCACTCCTGCTGTGCCCTGTCCAGCTGGCTTTGGATGTGGTGCAGCCTCTCTGTGCCTCAGTTTCCCCTGTGACTCCGTGTGTGGGGGTGCTGTTCCTTGCCCCTTCCTTAACTGGGTGTATGGAACACTTTGGGGTGGACTGGGGAGAGAGCAGTGGAGCACTGTTTGCTCTGGGTCTGGCAAGTAAAAGCAGAGCCCCCACTCCCTGGCCCTCCCTCTCTGATCGCAGCTCCACGGCTGGGGATGATGTGGTCCAGGTCTCTGATCCCCTGGGGCTCTTATTGCCACACTCACGCTCCTCTCCCTCCACCATGCAGAGCTCCAAGCGTCGGTCAGCCATGTCCATCCCCATTGACCTTACAGAGGAGGACTCCCAGGACTCTTCCCAGAGCAGCAGCACACTCTCCAGCAGCAGCTCCCAGGAGGGGCAGAATGGTTGTGCAGAGCTAGGTACTGAGGAGCCAGAGGGCAGAGACATGAGGTTGGCACCGGAGTACCAGGTACGGAGGGGCGGAACTCTGCTCCTGCACCTGAGATAGTGTGGGGCGAGGATGAACCTCCCTGGCTTGTCCCAAGCCTGCAGACAAGGAGATCCTCTGGAAAACTCACTGCTGCTTCTCCTGCCTCCCCTTCCCTCTCTGGGGTGTGATGGTGCCAGCTGTCTCTATCCATCGGGCTGCAGGGGCACCTTGCTGCCAGTGGGTGTTCTGGGGACCAGCCCTGCCAAACTGCCATTGGTGGCACACGTGAGCCCTCAGAGACACGCATGCGTGGCATGTGCCGTGCCCTGCCATGCCGTGCCCTGCTGAGACAGGCAGTTGCATGTGCAGAAAATGTTTCTGTTGGGGATGCTGGAGAGAAGTGAAGCTGCTGGGGCTGCAGAGCGGGATTCAGCGCCTTCAGGCCACAGGGCAGGGCCCCAGACTTGCAGAAATTGGGCAATTGCATCTTGCTGCATAATTAGGTGCCTAATTGCAGAACAAAGCTGGGAAGGAGGGCTCTGCAGAGGTGGTTCTGCTCCCTCAGAGGTGCCTCCCCATGCACAGCACCAGTCAGTGGCCCTCAAGAAGTCACATCAAAATTCTTAGCTGTTTTTCCTCTCTGCTTTCCCTCTGCTGTTTCCTGGTGTCCCCTGGTGGGAACAAGAGGAGGACGGGTGGGTGCACTCTCCCTAGGGTGCAGCCAAACAGCCTGAGCTGTGAGCTCTGTGAAGGGACTGCCCTGTGCCAAGGAGTCTGCTCGGGGCACACAGGGACCAACCCTGGGGCAAGGCTTCCCAGTGTTTGCTGAGACCCTGGGAGGGCAGGCAGGAGTGGACGTGCACAGGGCCTGGTGCCAGAAGGGCTGTGCAGGATGGAGCATGCCCCACGCCGTGTGCCAGGCACGGGCTCAGTGTGGGGCTGGCATGCGCAGACCTCCCTGCTGAGCTCTGCGTGGCACAGGGCTGGGAGCCAGTGCTGCCAGGGGGTGCTTGGATTTGTGTTTGAGGGAGGGGGTGCAGCTTTTGTAGATCAGAGGTCCACGTGTGTGACGCACATGGCAGAGCATCTCATCAGGGCACTCTGGGGCAGTCCCCTGTGCTCCTGGGCTCTCTTTTGCAGCCTCCCAGATAAAATGTAGTTTGTGCTTTTGGCTGATCTATGTTGTCTTCTTTTGCTTTCAGGATGGGAAGGAATTTGGAATTGGGGATCTCGTCTGGGGAAAGATCAAAGGTTTCTCCTGGTGGCCTGCGATTGTGGTCTCCTACAGAGTCACAGCCAAGCGCCAGGCTGTGTCGGGCATGCGGTGGGTGCAGTGGTTCGGAGATGGGAAGTTCTCTGAGGTAAGCCTGCTGCCTGCCCCTGGCTGTGCCCAGCCCAAACCCCCCTCCTCTGTGCACTTCCGCCCCACTCCTGGGGCTGCCCATGGAGTGTGTGTGCCCTGTAGCCTCCCCAGGCAGGGACCCCAGTGTCCAGGCTCTGGCATGCTCTTGTGGCTCTGGTGTCTATAAGTAATGACTGACCACTGTAGACTGGTGACAGCAGCCAGCAATGGGGATGTCTGCTTGGCCCCTTCAGAGTTTTGTCCAAGCCCTGAGCTCCAGGGCTGCCCCCATCACCCCTTGCCTGGTGAGGGATGTCCTCTCAGAGCCTCATAATCTCTCATAAAATCAGAGTATTTTGAGTTGGAAGGGACCCACAAGGAGATGAGTCCAATTGCTGACCTTGCACAGGACAACCCCAAAATCCCACCATGTGTCCAAGAGTGTTGTCCAAATGTTCTTTGACCTCTGGCAGGCTGGTGCTGTGACCACTTCCCTGGGGAGGCTGTTTCAGTGCCCGAGAAAACCTTTTCCGAACATACAACCAGGATATCCAACCTCTCCTATGCCACAGGCAGGAGGGAGGGAAGTGTCACGCCAGCAGTGCCGGCAGAGGGTGCAACCCACCCGTCCTTGTCACACTGCTGCCCTCGGCAGAGCACTCGCTGGGCTTCATCACAGCCCTGCAGGCATTTCCATCCTGTCCTGGTGGTGAGCTCTTGTCACTCTCTCCCAGGTTTCTGCGGACAAGCTGGTGGGACTGATGGCCTTTAGGCAGCATTTCAATTCTTCCACGTTCAATAAGCTGCTCTCCTACCGCCGTGCCATATACCATGCTCTGGAGGTAACCACCAGGGGTGGGTGGGTGAGGTGCCAGCTGAACCAGCTGGGCTCAGGGGGCAGTGGGATAAGATTCAAGAAAACCCTCTTTTCTCTGCTGAGATTATTTCCAAGTGCAGCTGTAGGGCCAAACTCTGCTTATTCCAGGGGTTCAGGAGTAACTGCTGCTGCTCCAGATCCCCAGGCCAGGCTCCCTGTGAGGACTCAGATGCAGCAGCATCACAGCAGCAGGGCAGTGCCAGACTGGCTGGAGGTGTCCTTGGCCGGTGCTGGGTGCCCTTTGGAGTTGGGGTTGGTTCTGAGCACCCCATGGGTCCAATCCCTATCCAGGGGATGCACCATGGTGCCAGGATACAGGGCTGCAGACCCAAAGGCACTTCTGCCTTTTCTTCCTGTCGCATGCCCGGGATCAGAGTTTGGACAAGAGCTGGGGCTGGGTTATCCCTGCTCCTGGCTCCGTTGAGGCTGTTGGAGGATGGATGGGCTCATTGCAGGGATGGAAGCACTAGAGCACTGCCAAGGGCACACCCAGAGCGGGAATCTGGCAGCTGCTGCTGTCCCAGGGCCACCAAGCCCTGCACACACGTGTTGATGGGGAGGGGACGGGGGATTGTGTGGCCCTGGCAGGTGTGTGGCTGCTCCCTGGCCAGGGACCACCCTAGTCAGCCTGGCCCACACTGTCCGTTTCGGCAGGTTGCAAGGAACCGGTCAGGGAAGACGTTTACATCCATCCCTGGAGAGTCACTGGAGGACCAGCTGAAGCCCATGATCAACTGGGCATTCACTGGTTTCAAACCCTTGGGGTTTAAGGGACTGCGACCGCCCAAAGCCTCAGGTGAGGTGGTGGCATCAGCTGGCTGGGGGCTGGTGGGAGGCTGGTGTGGTCAGCAGCTGCAGTGTCTGGCACTAACTGACCCTGCTTACCCTGTGCTGTGGCCATGCCAGTCTGGTCCTGGGGCTTCTCACTGGGTCCCCCACATCAATGTTGCAAAAAGCTGGAGCAAAGCACCCTCAAAGCCCTTGCTTCGGGAAGTCTGACCTGGCTGAACCTCCAGCCATACGTGGGGAACCCAAGTGGTCAGGAAGGCCTGGGTTTGTGGCTGGGGTGGGACCTGGCAGGGCTTGGGAGGAGATGTCCCCTGGTGTCCTGCTGTGGTCCTGAGTCTGGAGGCCCATCCCTAAGGAGCTGCCTTTCCCTTGCAGAGAATGGGGTGCCAAGGAATGGCATGGAGGACGTAGTGTCCCTTGAGCAATATCCCCCTTCCAAGAGGCTGAAGACCAACTCCTGCAACAACGGCAAGGAGCAGCGTGTGGAAGAGGACCAGACCCGAGGTAATCGGCTGAGAGTGCTGGGGAGCGGCATGGCCTGGGCCATGCACCCTGAGACCACTAGGAAAGCATTCTGGGAAAGGGCTTGGCTCTTCCTGGGAGTCATGAACTTGGTTCCTGAAGGCAAGAGCTTTTGTGGTCCCGTGGTGCTCACTAGTTGTGCCTTACAAGACAACAGCAAACCCAATTGCAAGATTTGGGTTGGGCTCCACTAATGGCTAAGTTTGGATATGATCTGTGTGCTGCTCTGCTGAGCTCTAGTATCTCCATCTGTGAAAGGACGTGGGTTTACACCAAAATTTCTAACATGCCCATGGCCAACCTTCTCCATGTGACGTTCATTAAAGCTGGAACAGCTCTAATGCAAGAAATAAGGCAGCTGTAAGCACAGTGCATTTAGAGTTTGTTACATAAGCAGTGATAAATCTCTTTTTTTTCTCTTTAATTTTATAAAGAGCAAATGGTTTCTGAAGTTACGAACAACAGTGGGAATCTGGAAGGTAATTGCTGACCCTGTCTCTCTTGGGAAGAGGTGTGGGGTGATGGGGTGCTGGGCAGCAGTGCTCAGCAAGGGCTGTGGGTCCCTTTTGAACTGCACCGTGGAAGAGGGGGGATAAGTGCTGTGACTGCAGGGTGCTGGGGTCCCCTTGTGTTGAAGGGAACAGGGTGCTATGTGGATCCTCCATGGGGAGCCACGGCTGCAGCTGGATGTGGTTCCAAGGGCAGGCTCTACCCAGACACAGTTCCAAGGGGAGGTTCTAGCCTGTGGTTGTGTGGGGACTCTCTGCCCCAGGTGTCTGCAGCTCTCTCTGTCCCACAGACAGCTGTTTGTCCTGCGGGCCCAGCCACTTTCCACCCACTGTTTGAGGGGGGCCTCTGCCAGACGTGCAGGGTAAGTGCTGCCGTGCTGGGGCTGAGTGGGATCCTGGGACTGAAGGATGGTGTGTGGGTCCAGCCAGTGCTGCTGGGACATGGGAGGGCTGTGCCAGGTCCTGGCCATGCAATGTCCTTCATGGGGCTGTCATTTGGTGTGTTCTCACCACCTGAAACATCAAGGATGTGCATCTCTGAGCTCTCAGCATGTACCAGGGATGGAGCAAAGCTGTTCTTTTGTCACCCTCTGAGCATGGCTCCTGATCCTCTGTCCTTCTCTCCTCCTGGCTGTCCTTTTGCTAGGATAGATTCCTGGAGTTCTTCTACATGTATGATGAAGATGGGTACCAGTCTTACTGCACCGTCTGCTGTGAGGGCAAGGAGCTGCTGCTCTGCAGCAATACCAGCTGCTGCAGGTGAGCCCCCTGTCTCTGCTCCTGGGCCTGAGGTGCTGGCATCAGTCTTGGGGAGCTGTGGGAAGCAGGGTCCTGCATGAACTTAGACAGGGGCTGTGCTGCTCCCCAGCTGGCTGCCGTGCATCACATCCCAGCACAACCTACATGTCCCTACTGAGTCAGGCACCACCTGAATAAGCCCTGGGGAGGTTGGCAGGAGGTTTACCCATGTAGTGGTCATCAGTTTGAGTTAGCAGCCCTGAAAAAAACAGGGTACTGCCTGGAAAAATACCCTGTAAAACAGACCGGGGCCTCTGGTGCGTGGCAGGGAGACTCCAGGAGAGGCTGGGGTGACCAAAGTACGAGCTGTTGTGGTTTGGGCAGGTGCTTCTGTGTGGAGTGTCTGGAGGTGCTGGTGGGGCGAGGGACGTCAGCCAAGGCAAAAGAGCAGGAGCCCTGGAACTGCTACATGTGCCAGCCCCGGCAGAGCTATGGAGTGCTGCAGCGCCGACAGGACTGGAACACCCGTCTGCAGGACTTCTTCACCAGGGACAAGGGACAGGAATATGTAAGGGCTGTGGGCAGGGAGCCCAGCATGCTGGGATGTGGGGAGAGGGTCATGGAGGGCAGGGCAAGCAGCTTGGAATTCCTCTTCCCTCTACCTTGGTCTTGTTTATCTACCCACTCCAAGGGTGCCAAGCTCTTGGCCCTGCAGATGCTCTCCTGAAGGTGGAGGTGATGCCTGCAGAGCTGAGGTTTGGCCTTGTAGGGCAATGTAGCACTGTCAGGGCTGGGGCTTCATGGCTGTCTCCATTGCAGGCTGCACCCAAAATCTACCCAACAGTCCCACCAGCAAAGAGGAGACCTATTCGAGTGCTCTCGTTGTTCAGTGGGGTAGCCACAGGTAAGTCAGTGGGGAAGCACTGCCCAGCGGCTCTCAGCACTGGGCATTGGGAATGAATCGTTCCATGGCCTGAAACCTGTCTCTGCAAGCTTAGTGGGGAGGGAGAAGGGGGGTGAAGGCAGGCAGATCTCCATCAGAAGGGGATGAGGGTAGGGTCTCCCTTTCCTGCTTGGAGAGGGCTGTGGAGGAGGGCAGGGATGGAAGCAAGGATGGAGGGCATGAGGGTTTTGCTCACAGAGGTTCCTGCTGTGCTGAGTGCAACTGGTTCACTCAGCTCTGGCATCCTGTTTTCTGGGAGCAAACCTGCCCGGAGGAATGAGTCAAAAAAAGTTTGCTTATCCTGAACTGCACCCACTTAGGACATCCAGGAGCGGCCACATCGAACTGTGCTGACGAAGGAGACGGGAAGGCTAAAGAGAGCAGTGCAACCTCAGACCTCTGTCCCTTAGCAGGGTACATGGTGCTGAAGGACTTGGGCATCCAAGTGGAGAAGTACATTGCCTCAGAGATCTGTGAGAACCCCATTGCATTGGGCACTGTGCGGCCTGAGGGCAACATCACCTATGTGCATGATGTCAGGAAAATAACCAAAAGACATGTGAGCTATGTGTCCCTGGGAGGCTGGGGGCCATGGCACCATGGGCATGTGGGTCTCACCCCACCAGCACTGGGACAGGCTTGTCCTCTGCCCCAGTGGGGAGGAGAGACCTGCTTCTGTGGCATGTCCTAACTGTCTGGTCTGTCTGTTCACTGTAGATTGAAGAGTGGGGTCCTTTTGACCTGGTGATCGGTGGAAGCCCTGGTAACGACCTCTCCTTTGTCAATTCTGCTGGGAAGGGGCTGTATGGTAAGGCTACTTCGCCTCTGCCAGGCTGGGTTCCTCGGGGTGTTCCTGGTGCATGGAGCCACCCTATAGCCCAGGGAAGTGGTTTGGCTGCAGGCTGGTGGTTCCCCATGGCCGTCTCGTCTTGGTGGACAGGGCAGCCAGGAGCCCCAGTGCCACAGCTGGTCCCAACCTGCTGCTTGGCCTTTTCCCTGCAGAAGGAACCGGGAGACTGTTCTTTGAGTTCTACCACCTGCTCAACTTTGCCCGTCCCAAGGCTGGCGAGGAGCGGCCCTTCTTCTGGATGTTTGAGAATGTGGTGGCCATGAGGGTCAATGACAAGAGAGACATTTCCCGGTTTCTGGAGGTAGGGATTGCTGACCGCCGTGGGAAAGGCATTAGGGCAGGAGACATTTGCTGGGCTGTGCAGGGTGTGCCGGTTATGAGGGTCTGGCTGTGGTTTCCTGTGGATGCTGGAAAACCCCCTGCCTGGTGCACATGCCAGGAATTGAGTTTAGTCTTGGCTCTGGATCCCTCCTCTGGCTTTCAGCAGGTCAACCCTGAGCACTAGTCCTCTGGGGGGAGGGTTTTTGCCAGTCCTGCAGAAAGCATCTGTTCTGAGAAATGCCTGTTATTTCTAGGGAGAGGGAGGTCAGGGACTGGGGAGGGTTTTTAACTCGGTGGTAGCCAGGACAGGTGGTAGGTCAGCAGGGACCGCTGGTGTAAAAGCCCTACTGGAGGCTGATGGTCCTGATTCTGGCCCAGAGGAACCAGCACTGAGCACCCTGTGATTGTCATTAGCTGCTGGCCATGGCCACGACATGGGAGCCCATGTGGCCAACAAAGTGTGGAACAGGTTTGTGGGGGCTACATCTTTAGGATGATTTGCTGAAGACTTACAAGTCCCTGCAGTGTGATGGAAAGGGCTTTGCTTGCAGGAGAGGACCAAGCCAACACCTCCTTTAACTTGTATTTCCCACTCTCTGGTCCCCAGTGTAACCCAGTTATGATTGACGTGATCAAGATATCTGCTGCACACCGAGCTCATTACTTCTGGGGCAACCTCCCGGGCATGGACAGGTATCGATCAGCCCTTCGCTGCTGGCTTGGATCTCTTGCTGTAGTTTTGGTTTGTTTCATGGTGCTTGTGTGTGTCTTCTCCCCTCGCTGGCCCTAAGCCCAGCTCCTGGGAGGGAGGAGCTGCAGCCCCCACACGGGCAGCTTCCCTGCTGTGATGTGCATGTGTTAATTAATGCACTTAGTAATGAGCAACAGTGAGACTGCAGGAGAAGTGTTGCAGCATCCTGTGGCCTGAACCTGAAGCTTGTGGAGGGAGGAGTGTGCAGGATGCTGCGTGGTGGGTCTGGCTGGGGGTGCACAAGTGCACCAGCCTTGGTGTAAGGCCCAGGCTAATGTGGGGGTGCTGTGTGACAGCCCCATGCCCTGGTCAGTGCCGTGGTGGGGTTTGCTCGAGGTGAATGGAGCAGTCACTGTGGCTGTGGTCACTCAGCCTGGTGTGGGGGCATGGGGGAGCTCACACACTGCAGCAGGCAGATGCAAACACCAGTGCACCATGCTCCTCCAAGCCTTGTCCATACCTCAAATAGCCCCAAATTCATGGCAGAACACAACAGAAGGAATGGATAAAATCCTATTAGAGCAGTCCTGCATACCAAATACTCATAGTGACAGAATCTGAAGTTTTTGCACAGCAGATGCTTTGGCCAGTGAATACAGACTGGAGTTAAATACTTCAGCTTGTTCATATTTAAATTGCCAGTGTTTGTTGGAGTTAACACTGAGCTAAAGGCATTTGAAAGTAAAATAACAATTCTGAGCCTTTGTCATGTAAAATGGCTCTTGGACTTTCATCTGATTGTAAGGGAAGTGCCCAGCCCATGACTCAGAGCCATCCAGGACTACTCAGTCCTGTCTCCATGGAGTAGCCCGAGGCGATGCTTGCAGAGGTGCTGTTGAGCAGAGGCAGGCAGGATGCCACGGGCACAGGACTTCTCCAAAAGCCTTGCCAGGAAAAGCTGTGGAGGGCACTGGGAAAAGCAGGGTGGCACTGCCTGACCCCATTTGGAATGTCAGCACTGCTCAGTCTGTGTGGAGCTCTGACCGTGCTGGGGAGCAGTGCTCTTGCTGATGCTCACTCTCTCTGGGAGGCTCAGGAACAGTGCTGGACCGGGAAATGGGCTCCTGCACCTCCCAGCTCAAGGGAGCCCCAGACTGTCTGCAAGGATGGGACGGGGAGATGCTGGGTCCAGGTCATCATGGTTGGTGGGTGCTTGGAGAGCAGTTGCAGCCACTCAGCCTCACCCTCCAGCCTCGCTCACCTTCTCCTCCTGCCTTTGCTCCCCAGTATCTTTGGCTTCCCCCTCCACTACACGGATGTCTCCAACATTGGCCGCGGGGCTCGCCAGAATCTGCTGGGGAGATCGTGGAGTGTCCCCATCATCCGGCAGCTCTTTTCCCCGCTCAAGGATTACTTTGCCTGTGAATAGCAAGCTGAGCATCCCTCATCTCTCTGGTAAAGATGCACATGCTGCTGTGGTGGGAGAGGGACGGGCATGGCCGCCGGACTGCCATGGCCTGTCCCTCCCCGGCCACGAGCCGAGGAATGTCTGTAACCAAAGAACCTGGCAGGGTAACCTTTAAAAGGGACTAAACGGCAGTGATAAGTAGGAAATGATGGACAAAGAGCTTTAATTACCCAGTGCAGGGAGCTCTATGCATCACTGATGAGAAGGGGAGTCTCCTCCAGAGCATTAACTATTCCAGTTTAGCCTGGAGCTGGGAAGTCGCCACTCAGCGTGGGAGAAGCTGCCGGGGAGCTGCAGGCAAACCTGAACTACAATGAATTATTACTTTTCCTAAACAAACAAAACCTCTTGAAGCAACTGCCAAAAACCCCCAAACCGTAGCAGCAGGTGTAAGGGACCCTGCTCAGGTTACACACACTGAACACGCAGGATCATACAGAAACCAAATCTTTTTTATTTTTATTTTTCTTATAAACTTTTAATTTTGTTGTTTTAACATCTATTGCTGCTTTAAGGCATTACATAAGAATGTGGAGATTCCTAGACCTGAATGTAGCTTAAACTGAACTGTGAGGTAATAGAGTTACTTTTCTAGCTAGAACTAAAGAAATATTGTTTTATATGTTTGGCTGTAGTTTACAAATATTCACTACTTCCTTTTTAAAGCAT